AATTTTACTCAGATTCTTAATTTTTTAATACAATATTTAAAATGATGAATATTTTGGCTAGGTCAAATTCAAGACCTCCCCATAGAAATGCAGAGAAATATCTTTGAAGTGTAATAAACCATAAATCGCTACTTATATTCTTATTCTTAGGGTGGTGCTAACCACATACACACTTTTACCTTTCACACTCTTCTTAATTTCTGGTCGTCGAAACGAATGAATTGAAGAACGAATATCAATAAATATAACATAACAAGGATGTATAGGAAGTAAAAATGTATGTATGAATAACATTATCCTATTCTTCAATCTCCAAAATCTAGGGTACCCAACCAGACAGTGACCTGAAAAACTCTCGGACCACCTTGACCAACAAACCCTACTTGAAATTCAAATGGAAAGGGCGGTTGAGAAAGAAAGGAAAGTTGATAAATTGGTAAGTTCCATACAACTCATACTGTGGGGAAATATGATGACAATGGAGAGAGAAAGATATCAGGCCATCTCATTTCTTTTTGCTTAAAGTGGACACGATCGCCCAATGCTTCTGCATGACGGTACCAGAATACCCAGTTCTTGTTGAAACTGCAGTTCACAGCTTTTCATACAACTATATTATCACAAAAATTGAAACACGAAGGGTTTGCCAAAAAAAAAAAAAAAAAATTGAAACACAAAGGAGTGTTTTAGTATGCACTAGTGTATAGAGTTTTGGTTGCATATTCAACGCTTCATTCATTTGGTGTATGTCATATATCGGAGTGTGTAAAATTTTCGTGAAAAGAAACTAAGAGACCATAATGCATACTAGCTAATATGTAAGCCATCAAAACACGTCTAAGATTTCAGAAAATTCATGTGAAATATATAACGCTCTTGCAATTAATATTTCACGGGGTTCCTATATTTGTATATTTATGTGCTCGAGAGAAAAAATCAGACTTTCTTGGTATGTAGTAGTACTGAGGAGTTAAACCTCATGTGTACGGACATTCAATTCCATGCAAAATTTGGGGAGACCCATCTAGATTTATTGGCAGAGTAGTAATATGTATTTACTGAGAGGGTAGGTCCAAATACCATACTCCATAAACCTCTTATCTTATTGGGTTTCTACCAAAAATGAAACAAGAAAAACTTATATGTATTATATTCGACTTTTCACCTCTAAAACTGTTTGAATTTTTTTATTGAACTAAAACGATATTATATACAAAAGAGTAAATTGTCACATGTGTGAACTTGTGCAAGAAGCTGGTATAATTAAAAAGCTTATCCATTAAATTACTTTTGTTGTCTTACTCTTTGCATGCTAAAACGGTTAGAAAGAACTAATTAAATTCTCTTTATTTCATCATTAAACTACTTCATAAAGCGGACAGAAAGAACAAAAATTCCTGAAACTCATTATCAATTTACTTTTGCATTTTAGTACGCTTATTTAAAAAACAAAAATATTAATTAAAATACTAGTAATCATGAGACAAACAAAATCAAAGGTGCTCATAAGGGCGATATTTGGGTTAGAGAAATTGTCGCTTTTGTGGAATCTCCAAGAATTGGCCTTATGATAAAAAAGAGGACGAGGTCAATGTAACACGACTGAGAGTCTGACTTTGATGAGAAAGCGATAACCCTACAAAACTTACGGCATAGATCACTCTCGATTTTGCTATTTTAAGCTTAAAAATGAGGTAATTTAGACGACTTAAATTGAATTTAACATTCATAATTAATTGATTTTGCTGACTCACCTCACACAAATCAAAAACTCTAATTTATCTTCCACAAAAACTAAGAATCCAAAATTTTTAGTTCTTAAGCTCTGAACACTACAGTCGGAAATTTCAAAATTTAGTAAATAAACACAATTACAAAAACACAAAATAAAACTGAAATGAAATGAAATTTTGTTTCAACAAGATTCCAAGTTGAACCGCATAAAACGTTGAACTTTGGAACGTTGAACTTCAACGTTTGAAAAAGTAGGTCCTTTGCCGCACACATTACGCCCTCCACGTTCCCTCCCCGTCGGTATTTGTGCCCACAACGACCGTTATAAACTCAACACATGAAAATTAGTAAAGATTATTTTTCCTTGCTCAATAAAACAATTCCTTTGGAGAAAAAGAAATTTGTGATTCAAGTAGTTACTTCAGTCGAAGCTTTGCATTCAATTCATTACGATCTAGTAAGTATATTTTTTTCGTAAACAAGCCGTGAAGCACATAAGCTAGCTTGATTTGCTTTATCTTGCGTAAGTTTGTTTGAATAGTTTTAAACATCCTTGATATTATTCAGGATGTATCATAATGAATGATTGTATTGGTTAACTGGTTAAGCTCCTTTGTATCATGTAGATTCTTAAAAATAAAAATAAAAAAATAAATCAATTTCTTCTTTTTTGTCTTTTTATTTTCTTTTGAGTAAACTGTCGGTTTACCCCCTGAACTTTCACCTCATTTTCGATTTCCCCCCTGAACTTTTCCATTGGAAAATTAAGGACTCAAACTAATTTTTTTAGCCAATTTGCCCCCTACCGTTAGTTTTCATATATTCCATCCATATTTCCGTTAAGTGAGACCATGTGCACAACATGTGAGGGTAGTTAAGTTATTTCACTCTTAAAAATGATTAAAAAACTAAAAATAATAAAAAAAAACAAAACTTTCCCTCTATTTTTTCCCGCTAATTCTTATCCTCGATTTTATTTTTCCCTCTCATTCCTATGCATGAGAAATGACATATGGTGTTATTGTTTACCATTTTTATTTTCTCTAACAAATTAATAATTTGACAAATGCTAATGGTGCTATTGTCTCCAAAGCAGTGCATTAATATAAGAAAACCCTAGTCTTTTTTATGGACATGTTTCTTATATTAATGCACTGCTTTGGAGACAATAACACCATGAGCATTTGTCAAATTATTAATTTGTTAGAGAAAATAAAAATGGTAGTACATGCTTCAAAAAAAAGATTAACTTAGCTACTTATGAAGACAATAACACCATATGTTATTTCTCATGCATAGGAATGAGAGGGAAAATTAAAATTGAGGATAGGAATTAGCGGGAAAAAATAGAGGGAAAATTATTATTATTATTTATTTTCAGTTTTTAATCATTTTTAAATTGAAATGACTTAACTATCCTCACATGTTATGCACATGGTCTCACTTAACGAAAATATGGATGGAATATATGAAAAACTAACGGTAGGGGGCAAATTGGCTAAAAAAATTAGTTTGAGTCCTTAATTTTCCAATAGAAAAGTTCAGGGGGGAAATCGAAAGTGAGGTAAAAGTTCAGGGGGTAAACCGACAGTTTACCCTTTTATTTTATATAATTTTCAGTTTATAGGTACCCTCCTTTAGTCAATTGGACTGTGTTTTGGGATTCGATTACAATACTTATAATATAATCATTATCTCGACGGTTAGATGATAATTATATGAAGTACATTGTTCACATGGATATAATTGATCATCAAATGATAATTGTTTTAAATATATGTAAATGTTATAACCAATCCCGTATTTCAAATGAAGTAGGTATGTTGATAAATTAGGAAATGTAGTCAAATTAAGATTTGGAAGGATTTAAAAGGTTTTAGAATCATGAGGTAGTTAACTAGAATTTTAAAAGACTTTGAAATCATGGTGTAGTCCAAGTAGGAGGAAAACTAATGAAAATGACTTGAAAACTAAGTTTTAACGATAATGACAAAATAAAGGGTAAAGTAAACAATACTATGATTGACTTTTTAGTATAGAAATGTGGTTTTTCGTTAAAGTGAACAGTATCAGAAGCTTTTGGTTAAAGTTCCCTTAAAAGAATGCATCGAAATCCATGTGTAGTCCACTAGGATTTTAAAAAACTTTTAAAGAGTTCACACAAATCTCTATATATTACAAAAGTAATAAATTTTAAAGAATTTTATCGAATAAGAGATTCGGTAGAATTTGAAAAAATTAATATGCATAAAAAAGAAGCTATAAAGAATCTCACCTCCACCCACAGACTTTCATTAAGATTTCATTTCAAGCAGCTGCCCTCTCTCCACGTCAACTTTATCCGACCGACCCCCTCCAATCCCTCTCGTCCCGACATCACCTTTGGGTTGGGTGGACTGAGCAAAGTTCTTCATTATTTTTTTACAAGTTTTTTATTTTAATCTTATTTTCTATTTAAAAAATAATTGTTTAAATGACAAGAAAGTCTCTCAAAATTCATTCAAATTTTTAATCAAAATCTATAAGAACTCTTAAAATTTCATTTGAATGTTGTAAGAATTATACGTCTAATCAAATCTATCACTTTAAAAAGTCTTTTAAAATTGTTTTAAATCCTTATCTGAGTACACCCTATTTACCACATCCACCACCACCCCATAAATTTCACCTTATTTGGGAAACTTCCTGTTTGAGCATCTTAAAGATTAGATCTTTCATTCTCAACACCATTTAAAATGGAGTGGTTAAAAATGGTGGATGGCTTTGAATTCCCAACAAACAGTACTTTCTGTTGTCCCAAACACCAAAATTAGAACATCCCATTTAAATGTCACACCCAAAATTTCCCTACCCTTTTTTCCAAACTCCGTTAAAATTTAAAAACCACAGATTTGTTTTTAATTTTTGTGTTCTCGAAATACAATCACATGATGTTATTATTCTACATATTATCATATGAATGAACGACATATTTATTTGATATGTTCCACTTATAGATTGTATTGAAAACTTATAATTACAAAACCCAAAGACCAGAAAACAAAGAAAATATCTTGAGTTTTCGGAATACAGTTACATAATGTTAATATTTTACGTTTTATGAACATACTATTATATAGATATAGTTGATATGTTTCAACCTTCCTTATCTAATTAGAGATAACTATCAATGAGATATTCCGAGTAGACCGAAAAATTACCATCACGGCGTTTAGAAATTTAGAAGGAAGAAAAAGACCGGTCTATATATAGCCAAACAGCGCAGCACATAAAACCAAAAGAAAACAATAATACCACATGAGAATTTGAGACCCTCTCTCTCAGCAGCCTGAGAGAAAAAGAGAAGAACATAAGAAGGAAAGAAAAAAAAAACATCCATTTGAAGGGGTTCAAAGATCTTCTCAGATCGGGACCAAAAAAATGTAAGAAGAAATCTCTCTCTCTCTCTCTCTCTCTCTTAGCATTCATTTCTTTCTGGTATTGTCTGTCTTTCGTGTGTTTGTGTTTCATGGGATTTCTCAAATGTGGTTTTGTCTTTCAATTTGTGCTTTTTTCTGCAAAGTTTTGAGCTTTGAGGTTCTATCTTTAATGGGTGCTTCTCTGTTTTTGTCATTGTTGGCTGCAAACTTGAGTTTTTAATCTTTTTGGTGAATTTTTTGCTCCGAAATGAGAGATTTTTCTCAGCTGGCTTCTTTTTTTTTTCTTTTTCTTTTGGTGATTTTAAGGTTAATTTTAGCTCAGAAATGTAAAAATGGGAACTTTTTATGTTTTTGTCAATGGTTTTTTTATTGTTGGTTATGGGGTTTGCTCAGATTTGTTTTGTCAATCAAATTTCTAATTTGGCGCAAAACCGAGGGCAGTGGCGTTGTAAGATTCATACCGCGAACCCCACTTAATGGGATAGGGCTTGGTGGTTGTTGTTGTTGAATCAAGTTTCTAATTTCCCTCTTGATTTTTATTTTTTTACCTTAAAATTGAAACTACCCTCTTTTACTTTAGCTTTTGTAATTGTTACTTTAATTTTATTAATTTTTTTATTTGTTGGGTTCAATTCATTTTTTTAGATGTCTTGTTCGTTAAATTTTTTAAATTTTACCTAATTTATCTCCTGTTATGTCTTATTTAATGTGATTATAATTGTATAAATGCTTTGCATAATTGAGTTTGATAAAAAAATAAAAGAAGAAGAAGCAAATTGAGGAGTTTCCGGTGACCGGCAAACCAATAAGACCACCGGAATTCTATACAAGAATTTCTCCTTTGCGCGTGTGCCCGCTTGCGTGTGTTTCTTCAAACTGTCATTGGAAAAGATGTATTTGGCATTGTAATATGGATTGGGAGATCGAATGTACCTCGAAATTGTCTCGGTTTAATTTGACATGTTTTTCAACAGATAAAGCTTCATAAGTTTTTTGGTCAATTCGAAGAATTTGAAATCTATTTGAAGATGGAATAATTTACTTGTAAATAAGTAAGGCTTTGTTAGTATATTATCTTAGCTTATCAAACGAGCGTGTTTGATTTTTCTCATGCAGTGTCATGGGGAGGGAAGGTACTGGTATAAAGGTGGGGAACGGAGAAATGGAGAGGAAGGTGGTGGAGAAGAAGATTAATGGTGTCGTGGTGACTTCAATTGGTTTTTCTCGTGGTAAGGTCCACGTTGCTCCCAAAGTTTCAGAAGAAAGCATTGAATCAAAGGATTTTAAGGTGAAGAACCCTGTTGAAGAAAACAAAGTTGCTGTGGAATCTGAGGAGAAGCAAAATGTGCTGGCTGTTAAGAGTACAAATCTTGATGATGACTCGACTGATGCCAAAAATGAGAAACCTGAATTTCCGAAGCCGAGTGACATTAAAAAGTTGAACTTAAAATCCACTGCTGCTGAAAATGGGCATTCAAATCAGACTGTTGGGGCTGAAACTGCCACTGCCAAAAAATCCAGCAATTCTGAGTCTCCTGATGCTAATAAGAGCTCACAGTCTCCTCTTGCTACTAAGAGTCCACAGTCTCCCAATGCAGAGCCTCCCAAGAGTTCACAGGTAAAACCGTAAAAATACTGTATTTTTCTTTCACAGCTCTAAAGGATTCATCCGCTGGTTCAAGTCAGTCTATTATATATGGAACTTTTGTTGAGGTCGCTGAATATTGATGCTGTAATTCGGTATTGCAAATGTGTAAGATTTTGTGCTTGTTCTAGCGTGAAACCATGCCCCTCTTTAGAAGTTTTCAATTACATGTTTATATGATCTCACGAAGAATGCCGCCTCAATTAAAATGAGTTTCATTGGCTCGAAAAGCATCATGAAACTGAGAAGAATTATGAACTTTTGCTTGTAAACACTACTGCAGCGTTATTGTAGATTTGAGATGGTTCTAATTTCAATTTTTTTCCCCCCATTTCATTTCAGCCAACTTCACCTCAGTCATCAGGAGAGGGCGCGGAACATGATAGTAAGAAGCATGCTAATGAAGAAGATATTTGGTCTCTGACTTCCTCGTATCCTTGGTTGACATTTGAAGCTTTGAATTTCTTTGTTTTCTACATATATTAGAAACTGTTTATTGCATTAGCATTATCCTTAACAAAGAATAGAACTGCTGCATCAAGAACACCTAAATTCAAGGTTACAGTTGGACAAGCTCCCACGTTTAGGATCTACGAACGTATAGAGAAAAGGAAAGAGGTACTTTCTCTAATAAAACAAGTGACTGTATATCTTGAGGACTACTTTTTATCCGCACAATCTAACGTGTAACTGATGTGATTCCCTTTGTCTAGTTCTACTCGAAGTTGGAGGAAAAGCATCAAGCTATGGAGGCAGAGAGAAGCCAGTGGGAAGCAAGGGCCAAGGTATGCCACATCCCTGTAGTATCTATTATTTTCCCGTGCATTAATCATGGGTGCCATACGGGTCAACGTTTTCTTTGGGTGTTAATTCTTCCGCACGTGATGAGTTCCGTTTGAAAAGTCATATTTTACATTTTCCTTCGTTACACTTTCAGGAAGAGCAAGAAGCAGCCATCAAGGCACTGAGGAAGAGCATGGTCTTCAAAGCAAATCCAATACCTAGTTTCATTTACGAGCCCCCTCCTCCTAAGGCTGAACGCAAGAAGGTAGCTATTTCAAATCTTGTCAGTTGTGTTCGACTCCTTGTGAGTTCCAGAACATATTGAAATTGACCCAAAAGAGAAAGAACATAAATCTCGATACACACGTCAACTGAAAATAAAACCAAAGAACATGGACTTGGAACTTGATTAAGTGTTTGATTAAGCGATTAATCTGTTTTTTAGGACTAGATATATTGTATCATTGTGGTAATCCTAGTCCGAGTAATGTAGCGATTCCTCATACTAGCTGCACCTTTTGTTGTGAGATGAACTTTTGTGTGTGCTTGTATATGATTTCAGCTTCCACTCACTCGGCCCAAGTCACCAAAACTAAACAGTCTAAGCCGGAGGAAGAGCTATGGCGATGCAATCACCAACTCATCCGCAGAGGAAAAAAAGAAAGGCTGTTCTCGGGCACAACGTCACAGCCTTGGCACTCATAAGGAAGAATCCACGCCTCCCAAAAGTAAGGCTCAGTCCGGAAGGCGAAACAGCCTTGGCGGTTGCAAGACCAAAGACCATTCGAAACACGAAAGGGAAACAACGGAAACATCTCGAAAGACCGCCGAGCAGACATCGGATTCGAATGACGATGGACACCAAAGCTTCCTTTAACATCAAGTGCGAAAAAAAGGGTCTTGAATTTGGTGGGTTTAACATTTGGATGAACTGAAGAGAAATAGCTTTTGTTTTACTTTCCTCCTCAAATGATTTGTTTACTTGGGTTTGTGTTAATTGTGAATTGTATATGGTTTTGTAAGTTAAAACGGTAACTGGTACATATCTCATCTCATCTTGTTATATATAAAAGGTTTAGGCTTTCTGTTTCATGTGAAACTATCAACATGTTTACTTACGAAGAATGAGTACGAGGGTAAAAGAAATTTTCGACTTTTTCCATGTTCACTAATACATGAGGAATAAAAAAATATGTTGATCTCGCCTTAAATCTGTAATTTAGGATCAGAAATTGGATCAACCAGGGGAGTAGTTGATCCAATTTTCATTATTTCTCTATTATCTTGCTTCCCTCGTTCTTGGTAAGTAAACATACTATGATGAACTTGAAGATCCATTTCGGTTGGTCATATATTAAAAAACCGTCTAAAACCATTAGGCCTAAAATCTAAAATCGAAACTAGTAACCAATCTAGACTAAAAACCTAATGTTTGATCTCTAAATAATAATTGTACACATACTCAAATGTTAGGGGACTAATTGATGGCTTCGCCACTGCAGCCCACTTTCTAGGGGTTGGAAGATTCACAGAGGCATTTCAGTCTCTCGTTAGCTACCATCGTGTGATTCACGAGTGTCAGAAATCGAACCCAAGACGTATTGTATGAAATATGAACTTAGAATTCGTTCCTAACCAAAATCATCTCATATACTCAAATGTTTTCTCAAAGTGTCGTGTCTTTATATGTTTCTAAACAACATTATTAATGAAATAAAGTTTAACCTTTTTTATTAGGATAGGATAAATGTTTACCACATCTTGTCACTTGTCAGAAAATCAGACAACATTATGGGGAGATCATTCCACAAAGACAACATCGTAATCAGACAACATTAACATTTTTAACCACATAAATTACTCTCCCTCCAGTCTCTAACAATTTCTGTCGTATAATCTCTCTCCCTCCAAAACCTCCACAACCATGCTTTGCTCCTTCCACTCCTCTCTCCGCCTCCACCCCCTCAAAACCCACAAGCCCCTAACCATAATCTGCTCCTCCCAGCCCAAACCACCACCACCACCCAAGAAACGAGCCGCCGCGGACGGCCGAAGACCCTCCCCCAGGTTCGGTAAAAAGCACGGCGCCTCGAGAAGGTCGGTTCTGAAGAAAACGTTCAAGCAGGAGCAGGTGAGCTTCACCACTCCAATTTCCGATGACCCCATTGTTGGTATCATCGGCGGAGGCATGGCGGGCCTCGCCTGTGCTCTCTTTCTGGAGAAACGCGGCGTCCGCTCCACCGTTTTCGACACGGTTTGTTGCTTGTTTCCTTCAAGTTTTTAGCTTTTTGTAATTGTTAATGTTTGTTTTGATGTGTGTGTGTTTTTAATTTTATCTGTTTAATTTGTGTGGATTATTTACTTTTGTTATTGCTCTGAATTTTCATTTGTGGATAAGACATTGCAAAAAGCTTACACCTTTACTATGCCACTATTTAAGCTCGTTTGAGATTGCTTTTGTAAGAAGCATTTTTGCTCAAAAGTGCTTTCACTGAAAGTGCTTATATGTAAACATATCGAACTTTAAAAAAAAAAAATCAAGTGCTTCTTAAAATTCACTTGGAGGTGTTTCCTTAAGAAGAACCTAGCAAGTGCATCCTTTGAAAGTGCTTCTGCTAGAAGTGCTGTTATCATAAACATGTCAATTTTTTGCTAAATTTCAAGCGGTTCATGGAATAGCGCGTAGAAGTGCTTCCTAAAGCAATCCCGAGCATGCCCTTAATGAAACTATGGAAGGAACCCGAACGGGATGCATATATAGTTATGCTTACCAAGTTATAAATTTGAAAGTTGGATTTGTGCTCCAAATGTTTCTAGTGCCACATGACAATGATTTGCTATCATAGGGTATTCATGGTTTGGGAGGAAGATTGGGAACCAGAGTAGTGGATCCTCAGCCTCTGATATTTGATCATGCAGCTCAGTTCTTTACAGCCAGTGATCCTCAGTTTGTTGGGTTGGTTCAAGGGTGGTTGAAGCAAGGTCTGGTTCAAGAATGGCAGGGTGCGGTAGGAGAGCTTGAAGTGGGTGGTAATTTTGTTCCGCTTCCTTCTTCTTCTCCAAGGTACATAGGTGTTAATGGAATGCGCCCCGTTGCTGACTCATTACTTTCTCAGGTGAAGTAACCTATTATATATGTAAGATTTAGTTGGTTCGATAGCATGGTTAGACTTGTTAAGATACGGTAACATTTAGTTGCTTCAATGGCATGGTTGTCCTTGTCAAGATATGCTGATTTCAATCTAAGATGGTCTGACGTTTTTAACATACCATGTCATGGCTAAGTAGAATGTTGAATGTTGATACATGGTGCAGGCTCGTATGATTAATGTGGAGAGACCTTGCTGGATAAGTAAACTCGAGCCCTTCAATGGGATGTGGCATTTGAGTGAGAATGGAAAACCGTATGGGAAGTTTGATGCGATTGTTATCGCACATAATGGTAATATTGCTTTTCAAGTGTAATTTTCTGTTGCTGTGGCATCTTCACATCATACAGAAACCTTAAATGTTGTATGCCTTTTTTTCTTTTCGTTTTGGAAAGTGCGTTGCATAATTCATTGTTAGGGGCTTTTCTACATGTTCGTGTACGCATCTGATATTCACAATGCCCTTGTATATGTTCTTGAATGTGTGTGCTCACACTTCTCTTTTATTTAATTTTCCAATAGGTAAATGTGCAAACCGCTTACTTGCATCATCGGGCTTACCACTAGTTTATGGACAAATGAAGGTACATCTAAAATCCATGGGTTCAATGGATTTGATGTCACATCTACGTCAACTACCCTTTTGGTCATGATTGAATTGTCTTGAACTGTATTCTACTATTCTTCTAATGCCTTTCTGTTTGATGCTGCTAGAGGCTGGAATTGAGCTCGATATGGGCCCTCCTCGCAGCATTTGAGGATCCACTTCAAATGCCTTTCGAAGGAGCTTTTGTAAAAGGGGTTGATTCCATCTCTTGGATGGCAAATAATACCACAAAACTCCAGGGTTCCCAAAGTAAAGGTCCTCACTGTTGGACCTTTCTTAGTACTGCAGCTTATGGGAAGCGGAACAAGGTTCCACAGGTATATTTCAACGCAAACACAGCCATATGTTCACACAAGAGCAAGCATGTTTACAAAAGCATAGATGAAAGGCCCTTGATCATTACTTGAAATGAAACGAATGAGAGTTATGAGGATTTCCAATTTAGACACACAATTGCCATGCATCATACTTCGTTAGAAGACTAGTAGATATGACGTTGCGCTAACTGTCAATGTGCAGGAGAATATACCAACTGCCACGGCAGAGAAGGTGAAGGCTGGCATGCTTTCGGGTGTTGAAGATGCTCTCGGATTACCTAAAGGATCACTTCAGAGCCCCTTTTACACTCGAATCCAGTTATGGTGAGAAGCTGCACTAAGCGATTATGATGCTTACTTGAATGAAATGCTCTTGTAATTCTGAGGATTAATAATATTTTGATAATGTGGGATATGCAGGGGTGCGGCACTTCCAACTAATACACCCGGCGTCCCCTGCATCTTTGATCCTCTCGGAAGGGCTGGTATATGCGGTGATTGGTTACTGGGTTCAAATGTCGAGTCAGCCGCCTTAAGTGGAATTGCTCTTGCCAATCATGTAAGTCTCTTCGAATTTCTCTTTTTTCTTCGCCAAAAGACTAAGTAATACAAAGAAAGTTGCAAGCAAGAGTTCCATGAATGCGAATTGGTTTTCTTAATACAGATTGCAGACTATTTCCAAAGCAGCGGAGACCGTCCTGAAGAGTTTGCTGTTGGTTTACGCAACGAGTTTCAAAATCATAAAGGACATGATATCGGACAATTTCCCGGGATGGAGTCTGAAACGCAGACGGCTACAGAACAAGCATACGAACTTACCACTTAAACCGCGTCATCCCATGAAGAAAGTTAGAGATTTTGTATGCCATTGAGCTTTCCACAACACATGGTTCACACCAAAATGTGAAGCAATACAAAGAGGATCAAGTTTCGCATCCTCTGTGTATGTAAAAGGTGGCCCATGTCAAGGATGCAGATTAGGGGGCTGGTTGCCTTATCTCCATGTTCATGTTTTCGTGTTATATTGCGTTCTATGTGTTCATGTTATAACACGTGTATCTGATGCCGGTGAATGTGTATCAAACTCTAATTATCCAATTTTGTGCCTTGTAAGGGACAACCCGTTCCTTAACATAATAATAAATATGGATTAGATTAGATGATCAAGGCACCGCCTGTTTTCCTGCACTCAAGTTTTATCAATAAATAACATTCTAGCAGCAAATTATGGCGTGTTTACGTAAGTGGAATAGAATGGTAGGAGTGGCAATTGCACTCATTCCAAGTGATTCAAAGTGTTTTTTTTTTTTTTTTTTGGAAAATAGTGATTCAAAGTGTTTACCAACACTTGGGGAAATACATACGCGGAATGGAATGAAGTAATGGAATTACACTGATTAAAGTGTCATGCCAACATTTATGGAATGAAAACATATGTGAAACCCACCTAAAATGAGGAATCAGACTCCTGATTTTCTCTAAATCAGACTACCGAATAATAGGTAGAAAACCAATCACTCATTTTGAATGCAAGAATTGAAATAGATGACCCTAAAAAACTTATCCATTCTAATCGCCCCTAAAAATGCCAAAATTGTAGAAATATATAAAAACTTATCCATTCTAATTTTTATATATAAAGCCAAGGGCCCTATGAACAGTATTTTTTGTGGTCACAAACTTCACAAAATAAAAAGGTAGAATTGCCTCTCAAACAAAAAACTTCAAAGACAATCCAAAATAATGCATAAAATGTGGCGGGGTATTTTTATCATTTTAATAGTATTTTTTAATAATTAATTTTTTTGTACAGTTTTTTTTTAAATAATTAGTACCTCACAATAGGCTAGCAATAATATGATCAATCCGTTATTCATTAAATATTATTTTCTCTATTTTTAAACACGTTCAAAACATCTTTAGAGACGTGTTATGCCGGTTATAAAAAAAGTTTTTCGCACGCAGATAATAATGTGATTAAATTAGTTGTCAAATGATTTTTTTTTAATAAACGATATTATCTACA